ATATATATATATATATATATATATATATATGCATGCTTAGAAAAATGTTATTGGAACTGATTGATTATGATACGCATTTATGAGGTTGGTTTGTTCTCATTGTCACTGTTTACTATTACACCAGCTTTAGATTTTCTAGCTTGGTTTTAACTGATTGATAATTGTTGTTTACCATCCCATGATGGATGATTTATTCCATTTATTAATAAAAAAAATTAATGATTCCCTGCAGGGTATAAACTGTTGGCATTCATCAGCCACATTGGCACATCAACTCATTGTGGTCACTATGTGGCTCATGTCCGTAAGGATGGAAGATGGGTCATTTTCAATGACAGTAAAGTTGGCGCATCTGCTAATCCACCCATAGACATGGGCTACCTCTACTTCTTCGAGAGATTCGATGGCTAAACCCTACTTCAGATTGTTCCATGGAAAAGGAAAAAACAAGCTTCGATGATGCCCCATCCCCCCATTCAATTCGATTCAATTCGGTTTGGCCATTCATGCCACTAAAAAAATTGGTCCAAAGAGTCATCAGAACGTTAGCTCATTTTGAAGTCTCTGCCCCCCCAGCCAAAATTATCAAAATGGAGAAAGGCTGCTTCACCTGCAAGGTTTTTCTGCAGTGGTGGAAAACTTTTTTTTTTTTGGGGTAGTTGGGTTTGAACTAATTCTGAGTGCAATTTTCTTTTGATAATCTGAAAAAAATGAATTCCTTTGAGTTGAAACACGGGCAAGACATTCATTAGAGATATGCTATTTTCACTCAATTAAAACTTGAAATATTTTTACTTCATTTTTTTAGGAGAATGAAAAAAAAAAAGATTTTAGACTGTTATATTTGCGATTTTTATTTTTATTTTTTTAATTTTTATGGATAGCATGTGATAGAAATACCTGTTAATATAATGCATTGATTAGGTGGGTGTGGGAATTTGGGAAGCATTGTTAATGGCCTTGAGAAGCTACATCAACTTTAACATATAATGTCCAGATTTATATAGAGGCGTAGATGAATTTTTCACATTTGGCTTTAAGTTTTCATTAAATTACGAAACCCCATAGTTTTATTGGCACATAACATATCAGATGCCATTCTGATTAAATTGTCAAACCATGAGCTCATAATGTTGAATTTGGAGGGGACCATTTTGCATTTTTCAGGCATTTCTAATGGAATCTTTCTCCATTATGGGGTACATATTTTATTTGAAAGAATTTGCAGAGAGAGAGAGATAGCGAGTGGCTGCAGGCGAGTGGCATGGCCTTTTCAGTGCAGGACCATGTAATAATCTAATGCTCTTAGCCACTTGTAGAACCAAGGAATAATATGAGTTGTAGAACCTTGAAAGCTAAACAAGATAAGATCTGTTTCACGTGCTCCTGCTTTCATCTATTTTTTTTTTTTTTTTTTTTTGGTTGAATCTTAGTTTATTATATACTTTACTTTTTTACTTTAATTATCATTAGAAAAAATAAAAAATATATATATTGGATGAGAAACTTATTTGTAACTCTCTGGGTTGTAACATCTTTGTCTATGGCATGCCTATTTTAATAGAAGTGGGAATCCTTTTATTTATTTTATTCCTCTTCATCTTCCTGTCACAGATTGCGATAGCCTTCATCCTTCGTACTTTACTCTTTTAAAAAAATATATATCGATGCAGTTGTTTTCTACTCTGTGTATTTGTATGTCTAACACCTAAACTTTAATATTTGTCTTTATAACACACAAATTTTTAACATCACATTGAAAATATTGTATTTAGAATGTCAAATGCACTTTTTTTCATAGCACCAACATTTTACTTCTAGGTGTTTGATATGTAAATCCATGGGAGTTGCGTGGTGCTTATGTAAATTCGTGTACTTACATATCTAATAATGGAAACTTGATTTTTACATTTATACCACCCTAAACTTTTGATGCATCGGGAAGCTGTCATATTTGTAAAAATTGAAGTTCTGGTGTTAGATATGTAAATACATAGAAATTGAGCTGATCATGAGCTCAAAACTGCCGTATAACACCAGTGTTATGGTGAGTTGGAGAAGGGTTATTATGTGAAACTTTAGGGCTTTGGTTCTTTTTTATTTTGCTTTCTTATACCCTATTTAATGATATTTTAACTTTACCGTTTTATGATGTAGATTTTAATTAATGCTATCAATCAAAACCTATAAAAAATTGCTGTGGATCAGGCAACATAAGGTCCCATGCCCTTAATATCATGTCTTTATTTTGAATTAATTTATTTTAATATTATTTTTTGTAATATATGTTTTGATATAAATATAATATCAGTATGGTCCTTCTTATCTTACGCATAACATGAAAATTAAAAAGAAATCAGCATATAAAGACTTGGACTTAATTGTTTTAATGTACATCATACAATATTTTGCATATATTTTGCATTATTGTTTTTTTTGCTTTTACCCAATATAATAGATTTATATCATCATGATCTTTTTCATGTACATCATCCATGCAATATATCATTATAACAAAAGATGACATATATAAAACATTATCACATAAGGTATATACTTTCAATGGATGAGTCACCACTCATTATCAAAAGCGATATAGATAATAGTAGTCATGTTATGAATAGTTGGATTTCTATCATCATGTAAAATCATCATTTGATGTTCATGATTACTGTTGTGAGATATGTATTTCCTGGCATAGAAATGAAACACAAAGAACACAAGCAAACACAGATCATTTACGTAGTTCGATCCACCTGGATCTACGTCCACGGAAGGGAATCAATCAAATAGTTAACTAAGGCAAAAGAAATGGAGAATACATAGCTTATACATAGAGATGAGCCCTCATCTTCCTTCTATGGTCTCCCTCTCAAGCGACACTTTGATACAAGGCCTTAAGATGCTATCCTCCGTTGTGGTAGCTTAAGATCTCTTCTCTTGCTCTCCTAAGCCTCACACCCTCTCTATTTATAGAAGCAAGAGAGTGGTAGGTGCGAAGTAGGTGAGTGGTAGGTGAGATGGGGTAGGTGAGCGGTACCACATTACAAAAGTACTCTTTTACCTTAGTTTAATAATTGGGGATCAAAATAGCAATTACATTCACTAAGCATCATGATATCCAAATACATACAAACTAATCAGTTGGTGATATGCATTATTCATTTCTTAATTTGTAATTTTTCTTATTCACTGTATTAATGAGAGAAGCACCTATCATATCATTCTACTATTAATGGAAGCCTATCAATTGCCCTGTTATTAGGATTTTTTTGCATCAACCAAACAATGTGTGATTATTTTCATAGCCTACCTACTTATATATGTGCACATTTTCTTATACATTCATGATATATTTATTGGTGAGATATCTCATGCACATCATATAGAAACATCATGTAATCACAAGCATGTAAGGCACGTGGATGTATGTAAGAAAATGTATTATTATAATCATGTCAATCATGCAATATCTTATATATGACTTGGATCAATCCTTGAATAAATCATGCCATTTGCGTCTATGTAAAGTATGCAAGATATAGAATATTGCATTAGGTATGCGGTGCACATGTAGATCGTTGTCTCTGTGGAATCTACGTGACCACACATCACACGTGTTAAGATTGACAAAAGTGTGGATGATCTTATTGAAGAGATAATAGAAGTTAGTACGAGCTTGACACATAAATGTGGGGAAAAAAAACCGTAACAAAGGTGAGAGGCCTATCAAATCCACATGATAGTCCTATAATGATCATTGTCTTCATAAGAGATACGATCCATCATGTTAATCCTTAATTAGAGTAGAATATCAAAAAATAATAATAATCCAAGTTGACTATTCTTAAAAGCTATAATGATGAGTACAATGTTTTTTTATCCTACAAAGAAACTACTCTTAAACAAGACATTAAAAATCTTTTTTATAACATCATGGGGAGTATAAAAAATGACAAAATTTGGTAAGTCCACTAATGCTATGGTAAATTATGTGTTAGTTTGGTAGAACAAGAATGGTGCGTTGAGCTTGCAATATTTTGAAGTTGTGGAGGCCGTCCATAGGTGCCCTCAAATTGACCTAATTTAGCTTGTTCTTAATTTTATGGTACACAAATTTTATCATAATATAATGACACCATTTATTGGATAGTTTCTTAATTTATGAGATTTTTGATACTCTGTCATATGAAGATACTCCTGGATAAAATTAATCTAGCGATGAAAATTGAATAACTCTAATCAAGTAATGATAGTTTGATGATGATAATCAGACATAACAATTAGGTGACGATGAATGGATTACGACAGCTTTGTGGCAACGATGATATAATGATGCTTAAGTTATGGTGATCGAGCGACATTAGTCTGACAATAATGTTAGGTAACAATATTTATTATTAAATGTCAGATTGAGCCTTAGAGATTTTCTAATCTCCAAGCTCTGTCAATACTCAATTCTCATCTCCCTCAAGTGAAAAATAGAGTCTTATTGATAGTTACAAGGACGACATTTTAGTAATTATAGCCATAATCTAAAATACTATATTGGATGGCTTATGTTGTTTGTTAGTTCATTTTTACAAGTTTTAGATAATAAATAAATCTTTGATAATATCAATAGCAATTAAAATAAAAATGTACGATAGATGCATGTTAAAACTAGAAAGAATAACATAAAATAATATGAATCAAGTGACAAGTTGGTGTTAATTTAATATAATTTAAAAAAAAAAATAGGTGATTTATATATTTACAACTACTACTAGAAAATATATTATAGAAAAAAAATAGTATTAAATGACTAAAAAAATATTAGTACTAAGCTAGTAAGTTATTCAAAATTTATATAGGAAAAGAAATTTAAATACTAATATAGTACTCAATAGAAATTAAAATAATAATAATAATTTATCAAATAAATGTTACATAATTAAAACAACTCCAAAGACAATGTAAATAAATTGTGAGACAATGATAGAATTGTAATGTTAAAATAATAAAAAATATATATATAAACTGTAAAAAAAAAAGGAATTAAATTCTGAAATATGCTCAAATTACTGAGAAATGACCAGGTTTTGCCCAATTCCCATCATAAAGCACTAAAGCCGATGGGGATTGGTGAGAAAATAAAAAAGATAAATAAAAAATAAATAAATAAAAATAAATAAAAAGAAAGTTCAAAGCGAATAATCAACTAGCCCATCCTCAAATCTTCTGGCAGCTGTCCCTTCTCAAATCCCCAAGCTTCCTCAAGGCAGAACCGACGCCATTTTCCTCCCACCTAATAATTTCATTTTCCCCTCATTTTCTAAAAATCTGATCTTTTTTCATCTCCACCGATCTTTGCTCCCAATCCGCTCCTCAAAATTTGACCTTTTTTAACTTTGTGTCTCCCACTTCTCAAGTCATGCCTCCTGGAAGCAGCTCTAATGGCGGAAACACAAGAAGCGACAACATTAGCATAGTGTGGTTCAGAAGAGACCTCAGAGTGGAAGACAACCCAGCTCTTGCAGCAGGTGTTAGGGCTGGATATGTGGTTTCTGTTTTCATTTGGGCTCCTGAAGAAGAAGGTCACTACTTTCCTGGTAGAGTTTCCAGGTGGTGGTTGAGCCAGAGTTTGAAGCATCTTGATTCTTCCCTTAAAAGCCTTGGGGCTACTCTTATCACAAAGAGGTCTTTTGATACTGCTTCAACTCTTGTCGATGTGGTGAATTCTACAGGCGCTACAAACCTTTTCTTTAATCATCTTTATGGTCAGTTTCTGTTTCTCTCCTTGGAGAAATAAATTTACTCATAAATAGCTGACAATTTCTTTTTTTTTAATTAGTGCTCTCTATTTTATGATGCCGTACAGTACTGACTGTTGCCGATTGGCTGAATTTCTTTCTTTCTTTGGTTTTTGGCTCTGTTGATTCTGAATCTGTTTTTTAATGCGCTGCTTTCAGCAGTTGTTTTGGATCCTTATGTTTTGGTTGTAAAGGTTTTTGTTTTGAGTTTAATTTGGGATTATACCGTTTTCCCTTCTTTGCAGACTGTGTTTTTGTCCCCCTTGGGATTTTTAATTATTAATTAACTTGAATATTCGTTTTTTTCCTGTTCATGGACTTAGAGCCAACAAAGGAATTTCTTCTGATTTACTGCTTAAAATCTGGATTGATCCTCTCAAGTATTTGAATGAATAGATAACTATTTCTAATATTAGGTGCTTGATAAGCTTTATCTTTTGTTTTTTTTTTTTTTTCTTTTTTAAATTAGCCTCCTTTTTTTAACTCATAACACTTTCGGCCAAAGTTTAATGTATTTCTACCCATGTTTTATCACTATGCTGTTTATATGTACTATACTTTTCCATTTTTTATGCTGTTCTCTTGTTGTGGAGCATAGATCTTATTTGTTGGATTCAATGTTGTTTGAGTAATGAGGCCGTTATTTTACTAATAGATGAATTGAGCCCAAAGAGTGAAGGGAGAGTGAAGCTAGGTCTTAGTGAGTATCTTAGTGAATTGATCTACAAATGGCCCGATCAAATCACTTTAAGCAAAGTTTAACAATTCAAATAAAGAGAGATTCTAAATAGAAATTGAAAAAGATTTTGTCATATTTTGATGTGATAGAGTTTTGATGTTAAACTTGTCTGTTTTTGTCAAATGATGCCATGTTTATAGACGTGAATCAATGTGTACATTACAAAATGGATGAGATGGTGGTTCGGTGGTTGGACATTTTCTCTCACACCGAAATGTCACTTGATCGAAGCTCACCAACAAAAAAAAAAAAATTTATACGTTACAAAATTGGATACATAGAAAAATTAAATGGAATATGTATAGATTGAAGTCAGTGTGATTGGTTGTGTGGTGAGTGAGTTTTGCTCATAGATGACTGCTAGGTACGAACTTGAGATTATTTTTGTTAGAATTGAGGGCAATAACCTTCCCAACTTCTAACTAGAATCTCTAATATGCCAATGAGTACTCCAGTTAACAGTTGAGTCTTTTTGGTGAGTTGGATTGCTCATTACTGAGGGTTGGTTGAGATTGATTCATCTTCTGGTTGATTTGATGAGATTTGATTCTTGGCGGTTTCAAGTTTAATGCTTTTGAGTTGTCGGTTATTTAAGAGTTAGATAGTGACAACTTTCAGACTACTTTGCATTTCAAATCGCCACCACAGTTCTGTTTGGAGAATTACTTTTGTGCTGCTTTCTAAAAATATTTGTGGTGAGAAGTTGTTTTTTATAATCAAATTTCTTAAAATTTGGTAGCCGTAAAGAAAGTCATTTGTTGAATTTTTGAAAATAATAAATATTTATAATTCACACCACAACTTCTTAAGAAGTTGATTTCCTTACCATAGACAACATTACAAGCATCTTTACAAAAAATTGCAGCCTTCCAAACTGGAGTCTATGGACTATCAGTGATTTGTTAAGCCCAATTCTAGGCAACTTGTTGAGATTGGTTCAGGTTATCAATAATGAATTAATTAATCCGATCTAATTGAATATTTTTGTACATTATTTTTTTGTCCAAAAACTTGTATTATTCTTTAAACATGAACACTTTCGATGGTCAATCCTTTGTTATGCACCACTTCATCCATCATTTGCTAGTGAAGCGACATGAGATTGTTGCTCATGGAAAAAGGTGACGTTTTAAAAGTAAAAGCAAAATGATGTTTTTTTTTTCTCGGGAAAGGTGAATCCAAAGGGCAATATGAATGATTTGAATCTGCAAACTCACGATGAGAAACTACACTTTCAACTACTCTGTCACATATAAGTGTGCATCCAATGATGCGTTAGTCTAAACCAAAGGAAAAAAAAAATCAAGACTCGAAAGATTATCATTCTTATTTTTCTTTGTTAGCTACATAAAGATAGCATAAGCACCTTTAGATTAGTCAGTTATGATATGTTGCTATTGCTATGCCCTCAATTTTGTTCTCTCTCGCAGATCCTTTATCTCTTGTTAGGGATCACCGCATCAAGGAGCTTCTGTCATCTCGCGGCGTCACAGTTTGTTCTTTCAATGCAGATTTGCTCTACGAGCCATGGCAGGTTGCAGACGAAAATGGTTCCCCATTTTCAACTTTTGAAGCTTTCTGGAATAAGTGCCTCAGCATGCCTTACGATCCTGCAGCTCCACTCTTACCACCAAAAAAAATTACATCAGGTAGATTATTCTTATATATCTTTGTTAGTTGTTTTTTGAATGTCTAATGATCATGCTATACTTTTGATTAGTTAATAAAACAATTTAGGGAAATTTACATGCTTAACACACAATTCTTATGCATTTACACATCTCACTCAACCACCTAAATTTCAATTTTTACCTACAAATCACCCAACCTATGTTGAAAACATAGGAATCTGACTGTCTGTAGAAAGAAGGTGAAGTTTGACGGTTGATCTGTTAAGACATAGGAATTGGGTGGTAGATATGGGAAGGTCCCATTTTTATTGTTTTGAAAGCTTGCAACTTCAAATTCGTTTGCTGTCTGTAACACAGAGCATCTAAAACTGACTGAGAGCTCTTCTCTTCAGGTGATGTGTCAAGGTGTCCTTCAGATCCTCTCGTTTTCGAGGACGAATCCGAGCAGGGGAGCAACGCCCTTCTTGCTCGAGCTTGGTCTCCGGGATGGCAGAATGCCAATAAGGCTCTAAATGCTTTCATCAATGGCCCGCTTATCCACTACTCGGCGAACAGAAAGAAGGCCGATGGTGCGACCACCTCTCTCCTTTCGCCTCATCTCCATTTCGGCGAGCTCAGCGTTCGCAAAGTCTTCCACCATCTCCAGATCAAACTGCTCGTATGGACTAACGAGGAAAACGAATCCGGCAAAGAGAGCGTGAACTTGTTTCTCAAGTCAATCGGGCTTCGAGAATACTCGAGGTACCTGAGTTTCAATCATCCGTTCAGCCATGAAAGGCCGCTTTTATCGCACCTCAAGTTCTTCCCTTGGGTTGTTGATGAAAGATACTTCAAGGCATGGAGACAGGGAAGAACTGGTTATCCTCTTGTTGATGCGGGGATGAGGGAGCTTTGGGCGACGGGATGGCTGCACGATCGAATTCGTGTGGTTGTGTCGAGCTTTTTTGTGAAGGTTCTGCAACTTCCATGGAGGTGGGGGATGAAGTACTTTTGGGATACGCTTCTGGATGCTGATCTTGAATGTGATACTTTGGGTTGGCAGTATATATCTGGTACTCTTCCTGATGGTCGAGAATTCGATCGCATTGATAACCCACAGGTATAACAATTTTGGAATATTTACATGGCATACCATTGAAATCTTTTGTAATTGCAACTCTAACATTTAAACTTCAACTTTTACATATATGCTCCCCTATTTATGCATGAAAAGGTCTGTTTTACAATTCAAAATTCACAATTGTGGTACTTTTGATGTGATGTGAAAGATTTAGGTGGAAGGTCTACTATGTAATATTATGCTATTAATTGAAGTTAGCTGTTTGATTCGGTAACATCTTTTAATGATAATTTTATAAATGATAATGAAGTTATATGTTGATGACATGTAGATTTCAGCTAAATTAATGTATGGTTGTTTGGTTCACTGTTTTCTTTAAATAATAATTTATGATTTATAGTTTTGAATAATAATTTGTGATTGAAGTTTAAGTCTTTTTATGTGTAAAATATTATCGTCTGAATAACATTTTTTTCTGGTTAACATTGCAATTTGGATATTGTTATCAATATTTTAGTCTACTTAAGAGGTTAAGATGAAGATCATACCAAATTGATGTCATGGTTACCATTGATAATTTTAAATAGGGACATTTACATGCATATCACACAATTCTTATGTATTTACGTATCTCACACCAAAACTTTCATATTTACACACAAAACACACAAAACACTCAAATCTCACTCAAATCTTGAATATCACGTCAAAAATAACACTACTATCACTTTTCAAAGGTGAAATACACATTTGCATGCCTAGGTTTGAAGCACCCAAGTTCTGTGTATGTAAGTATGAAAGTTTAAGAGTGAGATATATAAATACATAAAAATTGGGTGTTACGTATGTAAATTTCCCTTTTAAAATAATATTATAATGTTTTACTAAAATAACATTGAATCATATGATTACATTTGATAAACAGCATTATTATGTAAATGATGATGTTATGCACACAACATTACCATCTAGATAATATTTAACCAAAATACTTCTATATTTTTTTGTCTGTGAGTTTGTTATATGGATTTAAGTGCTGGGCATTTAAAAAGTCATTAATTGCTAAGTTGAACATGACATAAATGAGGCTGTTAAGATAGATGTGTTAAAAATTAGAATTTGTAAATTAAGAGGGATGGTTGGACTAGCACCCTATTAAACATATGTTAGACTTAATTTTGACATTTACATTGAAAGATTCAAAATGCATCCATTGGATCACACAGTTCCTTTGTATTTACATATCTAACACCAAAAGTTTGATATTTACATTTATAACACTTAGGTGTCTTCAACCTATGCATGAAAAAGTAGTATTTCACTTTTAAAAAGTTCATAGTAAAATTTTCTTTACAAATTTTTCTCCGACTGATCATATCTGCAGATTGAGGGCTACAAATTTGACCCCAATGGAGAATATGTCCGCCGCTGGCTTCCCGAACTCATCAGGCTCCCAACTGAATGGATACACCATCCATGGGATGCACCCGAACCCGTTCTCCAGGCCGCCGGCATCGAGCTCGGTTCCAACTATCCTCTTCCCATAGTAGAACTTTCTGCCGCCAAAGAAAGATTACAAGAGGCTCTTACCGAGATGTGGCAGAACGAAACCGCTTCGAGTGCTGCAATGGAGAACGAAACCGAAGAGGGCCTCGGCGATTCCTCCGACCTCCCTGCCTTTTACTATCCTCAAGAAATACATATGGAAGTGGATCCCGAGCCTCATCGAGCTAATAATCTCCAGAGCACGACAAGGAGGTACTCTGATCAATTGGTGCCAAGCATAACTTCATCATTAATTAGGGCCGAAGAGGATGCAGTTTCAGTGGATATAAGCAGCGCTAGGGAAGATAGCAGAGCCGAAGTGCCGACGAATGTGAATTTCGACGACCAAACACATGGAGCTAATGGTCAAGATGGCACTCCAAACACGAGGAATAATACTACTTTGGAGTTTGATCCTGCGAGGTTGCAGAACAGAGTGGAGTTTTCTGAGGACTCATCCAGCAGTTACACAGAAAGAGACGGAGGATTGGTTCCCGTATGGTCACCGTCGAACCTACCGGAGCATCTTGTCGATGAAGAAATGAGTGTCGGAACTAGTGCTTACTTACAAAGGCATCCCCGGACGCATCAGTTGTTGAACTGGAGGCAGATTTCACCATCAGTGTGAGTTTCATAAAATTTTGCTTTGTTTTCTGGTTGATTGTGTTTCATTCATGGAGAAGATGACTATTATGGGATTTGCATCTTAATCATGAGGAGTCATGAAGCCCAGTTATTAGTCTTCTATCTTTTGAATGGGAAAATATCACTAGACTCCACACAAATAAATTTAGAAGCTATGACATTTAGGTCTCTAATTAATGTAAGGTAGTTTAGATTGTCATAAGTTGGTTCTTATGATGGTGGTTATACAAAATGGTACTGTCTCATTAGCTATATTTATATGCTAAGGAATATGGCTTATAATGATATTATGTTGGCAGATATTTGCCAGCTAGTCCTATAATGTTCATAATGTAAGCTTACCTTTGTGTACCATATTTGTGTCATGGCTTTCTATTGCTTGATATTCTATTTCGTGCTATTGATCAATGAATTGTCATTTTTTTGTTTTGAAAGAATCAAAATAGTTTTGTTTTATTTGATTTGAATGAAATATGTACCCTATGAGGCTATTTGTGCATCGAGAGTATCACGGACAATTTATATGAAATATGGTAAGCATGTGGTTAATAGGGCTATAAAAAAAGTTTTTTGTTTGCAAATTGCTTGTGTTTGGTTTGTTAAATAGCCCGTTTTTGAATCGTTTGTTATGTAAACAAGCTGAACATATGCAGCTATTTGTTTGATCGTGTTTGGCTTGTTTTAGCTCAAAATGAAGAGATTATATATATTATAATAATATATTATATGTGTACTTATTTCTAAAGTTAAATCATAATAATTTGTGTGTTCATGTGGTTATGTGCTTTCAACTACACAGAAGTTTTGTAGGTTTGAATTCTATACTCTATATCTATTTTTTTAATCAATTAAAACTAGTCAATTTTGAGCTGATCACGAAGAAGAATATATAATTTAAGACGACCACAAACACATTGTCTCTTAACCTTTTTTTGGGAGGTCATATTAGCTTCAAACTTTTGAATTACCCAAATTTGTCCATTAATTTATCAAATTTTATATAAATTAGTCCCACTTTTATAATTAATTGCATTTCATACTTAATGCATATAGATATCAATTCGATCCTGCATTAGCTCGATTATATTCATTTATCTCAATCAAAGGTCAATTCGACGCCAATTCGGCTCTTTCGTAGTCCTATTGATATAATTTTCTACTTTTCCTTATCTTCAGGGTATATTTGTAAATAATTTTTAATGTTGAGGTGCAGCTTTGCTGTTAAAATGCAAATTGCATGTGGCAGGAGAATGCTATTGGTTAAGACTTTGTTAGATTATATGTATGGAAGTGAAAATGTGAACAATACATCCCTTTTGTTCTTAAATCACTTTGCAGAAAGTAAGATGTTGTAGAATCTAGTGTTGATGGCTGCTGTATTGATAGATTATTCTGCCAGTGTTGTGCTGTTTATAAATTTCAGTTTTGTGAGGTGTTTATGTGCAAATCTCACTAATTTCATTTTCTATTTCAATTTTTTCATTGATCATTAATTTCTTCGAAGATTTATATATATACCACTTAAAGCCACTTTACAACTGCATAAACAGGTGCGTTTCGCTTTATAAAGTTAAAATAATAGTACTATTGATATTATTTTAAAGATTTGGGTGGTATAATTGTAAAAATTAAAATTGAGGTGTCAGATGTGTAAATACTAGGTGTTAGATGTGTAAAATGTGTAAATACCTAGGATTTAGGTGGTATGTATGTAAATGCCCCTAATTGCTTTATTGATTTGGGTGGTATAAATGTAAAAATTATTTTGGATTCATTTGAGCCTTAAGTAAAATATTTTCTGAAATTTAGAAAATCTATGAACATAACGCCATTTGTCCTACACATATTTTTAACAAAAAAAAGTTTATAGTAGAAGCAAACTTAGATTTTATAATATAAAATTTATCGCATTAAGCTTAAAGTTAATGTTGGGGAAAATGATGACGAACCTGGTCAAGATTCTATTGCTTCAGTTTGTCATCGTGGGTTATCTTGTTTTCTAATCTAATTAGCCAGGCGGCGCAGTCGCCCTAACCTGACCAAAGGATTCTTCCGGCAGCCATGGGTTTGTGTCGTCTAAAAGACCCTTATAAACTTGGGATAGATATTTGTCCAAGAAGGCGAATCTTAGTTGACTTCGGCTGACAAAGAGCTTCGTGCCAAAAAAGAATATGCGGACAATAGTGATTTTAATTTAATGGTTTCATTTGGCGACAAAACAGACAACATTTTGTTTGATCGTAACTGTTACTTTTTGTAGAGTTGTAATTAAGCCAAATTAGTAAGAGAGAAGACTTGGATCACGCCCACCTTACCAGCGTCATATTATATGGAGTGTGAATATAATGATATAGTCAATATGAAATTTGTTCTAGGCAAACTGAAATCAATCACAAATTTATCATTCTTGCCAAACTTTTGTGGAAGATTGATAGAGTTTCTTTAAGCTTTATGTGATTAGAGTTCTACTTGGAAGTTTCAATTTATTAGTTTGAATATTTGATTTAAAAATTGACTCATCTAATTGAGGTTTGCAATTAACACGATTATCATGAGGGTTTAGTGTTTCAAAATTTTTGTATGCTTTGTGATGTTATTTGAATATTATTAATGTATACGCCACAATTGTCAGCGCGACTCTCATAGCATTTGAACGGCCCAGAAGATGACCAAATAACCAAAGCGTCCTACCACTCTACGGCCAATTGTGTGTCAAGAATCGATCAACACACTATGGTGAGAGATTAGAACGACAGATCATGCCGACAGTTTTGACCGACCGGGGTGTAGGCGCAAATTCTTGATCGCGGCTAATCGGTAGACCAGCCTTTACCCCGACAAACAAGATTGACACTCAACTGGGCACCTCGGCCGACCAATCGATAGTGCAGTCGCCACTCAGTCGGACGAATCCAAGCAAGTTGACTAACCAAATTACTTTCATATTAAGCTTCAAATTGTAATACCCATATAGTATGAAATCCATACGATTAATTAGAACATCAATTGTATTATGAACAATTTTTATAAATGCTCATTTCTTTCTGTAATTATACAAAATATATCCCTATAAATAGTAGAAAAAAATATGAACGAATTGGTGTGTCTACACAAGTGAATAGACAATGGGAAGAACGAATGCAATTTTCTGTCCAGCCACACACAGGAGGGGGGGGGGGGGGGGGGAGGGGGGGAAAGAAACAAAAGAGTGTGATACCCCCGCCCAAGCTAAGAATCCATCGTCTGGATTCTTGTAAAGGGAGGACCAAACCGATTGACCACGTAGCGTAGTTCAAATCATCTGTCGATCTGCTTCAGATCGACGACCTTATAATGCGTTGTCTTTTCTTAACCACTCTGATGGAGTCGGCTCTTCAGTGGTTCAACGATCTGTCAAACGAAAGCATACCAAGTTATAATGAGTTTAAGAGACTCTTCGTTTAACACTTTTTAAACTTGCAGAGGTAGAAGACGGACTTGAACACCCTGCTCGATCTCTAGCAGGGAGAAAATGAGAGCCTGTGAGCTTATGTCAACCACTTCTAGAACGAGATGCTCGAAGTTAGAAATCTGAAACCTAATATAGTTAGAATGACCTTAAAATTAGGAGTCTGAAGAGAGCGGTCCTAAACCTATTTAAACATGATACATTTGCAGAAGTATTGGAGATGGAAAACGAGCCCATACTTGCTAATGAATATCTCAGAGACTCTTTGAAGGGTAAGTTGGAGTCATCCGACCATCCATTCAAGAAGCAGAAGAAACAGGCGGCAAGGGGAGGGGGG